AAACGAATTCTGTGGCTCGAATGGTTCTTGAGAAACTTCGAAAAAAGGCCATTTAGTTATCTCTGGAATGATGTAAAAACGAGCGTTATTGCCCATTTTGCTTCCGAGAAACATGCAAAACGGGACGGAAAACATGAAATTTTGCAATAATCTTGCGCCACCCTTGCGCAAAACGACGATCATTTTTCTAATTTCATAGATAACAGAAGACTGTTTTTGTGACTGACAACAGCGTTACTGCAGCTGTTTAGTAATGAGCGACTATCTCGAAAACGGTTGGCTTAAGCCGAAAGATGCAAGAGCCCAAAATTGAGGGAATTTGAACGCTTCTGAGATGCTGCACGTGAATTTTGAAATATCTAGCTACAAATAAGGACTTTCGTTGCTGTTTATAGTGGGTTTTGGTTTCAGTTCGAATCAGAGTTCACCGCCTAGCAGTGAGCCATGCACACGAATATCCGAGACCGAAATCAGCAACAGACAAACGCCCCCAGATCTATCCAGCAACAACGACAGTCAGCACAAAATCGACCTGCCCAGAAACGATGCCGTTCAACGGTTTTCGCCCAGTGTGATAACAACGACGCCCAACGATACCAATTTCAACGTGCCTATTTTCGTGCTGCACACCAAAGGCTCCTACTACATCCCCTTGACTATAGACTACAAGACTTTGATGCCATATTTACAGAATTACAGCATTCTAGATCCTATAACACAAGTGCAGAACCTGATCCTACATCCGGTTACCATAAACGTGAATTTTTTACCGAATTTCAATGGGGACTTGAAGAACAATAATAATAAATGTAAGTACGAATTTAACAATAACTGGCACTAGAGCAGTTTCGTCTGACTCAAACGAATCGATTAATTGATCAATCAAGGAACCGATCAATGCCGTTTACCTAGAGGATTTGCTCATAACAATTTGAGACACTGTACCTGGTGGAAACAAGATTGCTTGAAGGCTGTGATGGTCAGGGGACTTCTACAAGACTGACATTTATGTAGATGTTACGAAATAATTAAAAAACATATTTTTCAAATGTCCATAGTGCAGTGCTTTAAACGGCAAGAAGAACGGCTTTTAAGCAGGACTTAGAGGGGTTCAGCTTTTTACTATCCGTTGAATGTTGTCTTGATCAATCTTTTATATTGTTTGCAAAAATGGCCTAAAAACAGGGCCTGGATTGGCGACGAAACTGATGTGAAGACGCAATTTTGGAAACAGGCTGTGATTATCTAAAGGTTTGATGTAATAGATATGACTTAACGAATTTTTATTTCCATTCTTTGGAAACGGTAGCGATAGTATCGATTACCATATATTTGTATTTTTATAGCTTTTACTGTAACTTTATATTGTAATAGGAAAACTTACGTTTTCTGCAATTTTTCGAAAATGTTGCAGAATCAAAAAAATTGAGTTATTTTTTAGAAGCCATCCCCCAAACGTTCGAAGTTAAAAATGTGCTTATCCTGCAAAATTTCGTCAAAAAATGCGGTCTTTTTCACGATTAAACCGCTATTTTCCTGATAATTTAACAACCCGTTTCGGAATGCTATACAGTGTTTAAAAAGCTAACTGATGATAGGGCGTTTTTAACTTCGACCCCCAGGCAGATGACTCCGATTACCAAAAATTGGCTCCATAACCTTGTTAGCATATTTTCTGGTTAAGCCGGTTTGCTGTACATTTTTAAACAACGGTTATTTGTTTCCTATTAGCGAAATTTATGTTCAAATATAATATGTAAATTGGTAAACTTTTATATTGATGTTACTTAAGTGCTTATGGAAATTAGTGTTATTAAATGTTGAATATAAAATGAAATTAAATCTGCTGATTTATTCAATCCTACTCCATGCGTTAAAAGTGAAAAAAAATCGCGGCTTGAAAGGCCCGTTTGCTCCAAGCTGCAATGACGTCACAACTTCTAGTTGCGCTGCTCCTATCGGAGCTTCGCTATAGAATCAACACAAAAGAAGACCTCACCCTCTCTAACCTGAAACACCTTTCAAAAAAGTGTCATAACCATACATTCCCACCTAATTAACAATGTATAGAAATTTCACTAATAACATAAGAAAATGTGTAAATCTGCTATATGCAACGAAACATATACATTCACAGGTACGTGGGCCGCTAACTTTTGCTTTGGATCGGCTGGTTTGAGCCAGCAATTTAATTTTTGAGGCCGGCAAAGAAAGACTCAAATTGGAGGCATTTAAACATGGCAAAGCCCGGCAATACTCCGAGCAGCTGCCGAAAAGACGCAATGAATCGAAGATGGGCAAAGGTGTGGGGCCAATAACTTGGAAAAACCTTGCAATTACGTCTTCGCTGGGGGGTATTCTTCTGGTGTTTATGTGGTACCTCAAAAAGGAGAAAGAGACCGGTAAGCTGTAGTGCCAGAGCCCGAACCGACCAGCAAATCATTCTAATTCACTCCTCTAGCGCAAGAGAAAGAACGCGCTCGAATGCTGGGCAAAGCAGCAATAGGAGGAGCTTTTGAGCTGGTGGACAGTACGGGGAAATTGCGAAATAGTCAGGACTTTATCGGTCAATGGGTTTTACTGTATTTTGGATTCACTCACTGTCCGGACATTTGTCCTGATGAATTAGAAAAAATGGCAGAAGCAGTTGACTTATTAGGTACGAATCACTAAGGGAAATTAGTTGCAATGTTCAAGTACTAGTAGGTTTGCGAATTGGCATTTATTTTCTCAGAAATTGAAAAAACTGGATAAAAACAATTATAAACTTCCAGAAAACGACAAAGAGAGACCCATTAAAATTCAGCCGATCTTTATATCGGTTGATCCAAACCGAGATACTCCCGAACTAGTTGGTAAATACTGTAAAGAGTTCAGTCCGCGACTGTTGGGCTTGACTGGCAATGAGGAACAAGTGAGCAAAGCATGTAAAGCCTACCGAGTGTACTTCAGTGCTGGACCAAAGGACAAAGACAAGGACTATATTGTGAGTGATTTTGTTAAACGGTTGCATTTATCGGGCCATTTCCCATCCAACTACATCAATCTCAATTATAAACTCTTTTAGGTGGATCACACAATAATTATGTACTTGGTGAATCCGGATGGCGATTTCGTGGATTACTATGGTCAAACCCGGACATCCTCCGACATAGCCACCTCAATTAAAGTGCATATATCGAAGTACGACCACAACAAAAAGAGCTTTTTCTCCTAAAAAAAATCCCGAAAATTACCATTCATTTGTTACATCCTCCACGTTTGATTAGCGTTTAATTTAATAATAATGCTGGAGCATTTACTGCTGTTCATGAATAAAAACCTTAACTAATTGTGGACGTTTTGTTACTTATAAAGCCAATCGAATAGGCGACAACGTTCTTAAAGTGCGCGACCGTTCAAAGGCAGCAATGAAGTTGATGTGGATTTTAGTTTTAGGGGCTGCTTTGAAAAAGGCCGATGGAGCGGTATGTACGTTAAAAAACCCCCGTATATAAAGGGCAAAATAAAAATGAATTCCAGATGACCGAGGCGCAAATGAAGGCAGCATTGAAGCTGATCAGAAACGTCTGCCAGCCGAAGAACAAGGCAACTGATGGTCAGTGTTAGTTTACTTTTAACGCCAATCAAAAGCTGTTCAATTTCATATTTCAGCCCAAATCGCTGCCATGCACAACGGCGATTGGAACCAAGATAAAAACGGAATGGTAAGCAGTCGATTGGAGTTAGTAGTTGGCGCTGATTGTGTTTTTGGTGTCTTTTTTAGTGCTACATGAACTGCGTGCTCAATTACTACAAGCTGGTAAGTGAAATCAACAGCTAATATTCTGCAAGGTTTAAACCGGGGCGTTTCAAGCAATTGCCGGATAACTCCTTCGACTGGGAAACGGGACTGAAAGTGGTTGAGTCGCAGGCGCCTCCCTCAATGGCTGGATTCATAATGGAAACAATAACGGGCTGCAAAGATGCGGGTAAAATAATGTCTTTGAGCCGCCCAAATTGGCAATTTCGAACTAAAAAATGTGTTTTTCAAACAGTAAAAACTCGGGACGATAAATGCAAGGCTGCCGTAGAAATAACCAAATGCCTGTACGACCAGAATCCAGAGGTAAATTTTAGCGTTCTGCGAAGCAACCGAGCTATTAATTTTTTCATTTCAGAAATACTTTTTACCGTAACCGAGCTTTGCGAGTTTAGCAATTAGTTTACTCCTTCGCCGTATTTTAACATTTACCGCGATTTACCTGATGCTAGTTCAAACATCTCGACGTCTAGTGGCGCAATGTGGCTTAACTTAAATATATTATTTGGAAGACTAAAGTGCTCTGTTTCTTCTATTCCTATCGTCTTCAGCCATTTTACTATGAAATCGCGTGCAATTTCCTTAAATTTCCCCCGCATGCTTTAGAGCAACAGTTCGAGTGGACCAATTGTTATCCATTAGGGCCATTGATTTGCTGTTATCGAACCAATAGTTGTTGTAAACGACTAATTTAAGAACGTTTCCAGAACTACTCAAGTCTTTGACGGCTTTCTGCCCCTAATGTCTACTAAAAAGACACACTTTATGTTAAAAAACGTGAGTCAAATAGGAAAAATATTTTTGAATAATTTTCCTGAAGCCTTATTTGATTGATGTGTGCAATGTGCACCGTAAAGGGCATTTTTTCTTTAAAGCGTTCGATTAAGGGCACTTTTCATGTAGAAAACAATGGCCTTTGAATTATCATTTTTTCCAGCGGCGTAGAAGTTTGACCACAATAATGCGCCAAAAATCACACTTGGACTTAGAGGAAAAAAATGAGGAGATTTTCGAACGCAATTGATTTCTACACAGAACGCTTCGTTGAGTCCAAAAATTCTTGTCCACTCCATTCTCAGTCCTTTAGTGTTTCTTGCTTTGTAGAAGATCAGTTGATGACTTTGTGGCGCTCCTTCTTTACTGATGTTTTCCATCACAAAATGATATTTTTCCCTAAAACCGCGGACTTTAGGGTTTTTCACTCCTCCTAAAATGCGATTGCAAATTGCCCATTTTTTCCAGTGGCGTCGAAGTTGGGGGGGGGGTAAAATAGAGCAACTGTAAAACGGCTCATTCTGCAATGGAAATTTCTGAATAAAACTCCCACATGCGATTCCACGAAACCTAGATTAAATCTATGCAGATATAGAGTTGCAATTAATCAATTCATTCATTTCCTTTTAGCGTTGGTGATTCATGCCCCTAGAGAGGTTTGTTTCCCATATGCGTCCTTAACTGGGTTTTGCGGGTGTTTTGAGTAACTGCATGCCTCAAGTGAGGACAATTACTGAGAATTGACTGAAGAATCCTCAACTTCTGATCACGAACACTGAGCGTTGGCCGCTGCTTCTATTTCTGTAGTTCTTTTCCCATTAGGGCTGGTATTTTATCAATTAATAATTTTTTTATCGACACGAAACGACGCCCATGTCTGGGCGTTCAACCTCCTAAATGAACTTCACTCGACCCCGCTAGCTCGTCTTGACGTCATGCGAAAAATCAATGGTGAAAATCCATTTCAGCCTCATGGCAAGATCCTTTGACTAGAACCAAGCCGCCCATTATCCAGAACGATGATTTACCTAATTGGGTGTCCTTCGGGATAATATTATGCGACTGTTAAGCGCTGTTAGGGAACCGGCCGGAGTGCGGACGCTTAGAACGCACAAAATCGATAAAGGGTTTTTTCAATCAAATCCAACGAGTTTAGCAAAAATACCGACGGTAGAGACTCAGAGCGGTTTGTGAGCACAGTCGCTGAAGGTGTTTCTGGACTTGTCCATCGAAATCCGCTCAATCCAAGGCTCCAATCGCTCAAACGGCAATAATCGAATGCTTTTCCACGTCATCCCGCCAGTCGAGGTTCGTAATTCCCGTGGAGAGGAGTAGTTAGTGTTTGGTGTGAGGTGCGTCGTTTATCATACGCTGAATGAAGACTTCGATGCTGTTTTATTATTACGCTGTTTACTCAAACTGATGAATGTAAGTCTGCACTTAATCATGCCTTAGCAGTCGATTGAATCATGCTTCATTGTGAGCACGCCCCTCATGGCCTCAAGCCAGCAATCTGATTAATTAGCACCAGAAAACTAAGCAATTCACTGCTGGATCTTGTGCGGCATTCGCTTGTTTAAGGCTGATGCGTAGAGTAACAATAATTTATCAGCCTATTAAATAATCAAAAGGACTTGGGGATATTTTTATCTTGGATAAACGTTCCTATTTATAGGCGTAGGTCCAATGCTTTCGCATTTAAAATTGAACAAGCTTTGGGCTAATGAACGGCATGGTGTAATCCGTTTTTTGCGTGCGTCCCCCCAAAGTTATTCCATCAATAGTGATTTGCCAAAACGAATTAGTTTTTCTTAGTTGTCTGCATGCGATCGATTTTAGAATAATAGGCGATTCGGCTTTGGTACCTGCACGTAATAACTTGCGGTTTATTACAGACGGGGCAGCATTTTGGCAACGGTCTGTTCTCTAAAAATTACTAGTTTGCTGTCGTTTGCATCGAATTGTAAGTAGATCCCGATGAAAACGTCTGGATGGATCAAAGCACTGACAACCTCCAGATGTTTTGCTGCAAGTTCGCTTTGTTTACCGCAAATTCCCTTCCGGTGATGATCCACTTCCACTAAATCTACGCTGTGAAAACACGTGGCGAAGCTTCAAGTGCTTTAAATTGGCGTCAATATCTGCTCCTTCACGCAATTCGTAGCTCCACTCCCCAAACGTTTGCTCTATCCAACTGTTTTTAAACGTTTTCTACCCGCATTGACCGATTCTCGCTTGATTTCAGGGGGCCACGGTGTGATGGATGCAAGAGTAGTGGTCTTGGGGGATGGATAATGAACAACCCCACCAGGAGTTGGTCAAGTGTGTGGTGGTCGGCGACACGGCGGTGGGCAAAACACGCCTGATCTGTGCCAGGGCGTGCAACAAACAGGTCAGCTTCCTCATCTCCAAATTACACATCTATAAATGCGCTATCCCTGCGGGAGTATCAAACTCTTCCTTCAGCTTCCAACTTTTACTCACCTCGGTATCGCCCCGATTCTCTTCTGATTGCTCATCAACAGTTTAAGAAGTAGCACCAGTTGTCCATCCATTGCATCAGCGTCCTCACAAGGTTGAAGAACTTCAAAAGATCGCCAGTATCAGCCAGTTTTCCTCCTCAAACCATTTGCCAACTGGCCCACGCAGACACCACTTCTTGTTCTCTATTTGTGATCTCTTTCACTCTGTCGCCCGCATAGCTGGCTCGAAGCTTGACCGATTCCTCTTGGATGTGTCGCACTTGGAAGCGTCTGTAGGTCCTGCATGAAGTTCTGATGTTTGCGCTGCAGCGTTGAAACAGAGCCGGGCATCTCGGCCCAGTTGCTATCCTGCCTATCCACTGCTCCAAGTCGCCAACGACTCGGTTGAGCAGGAAGAGCTGCAAGGCCTCATCCAGCTTAGCGCGTCGTTCTTGCGCCAAATCCTGCAGTCCGGCATACAGCTTGTCCAGTTGGGACTGTTTAACAGCGACCTGCTCGGCCGACAGGGACTTTACAGTTTCACCCAGTCCTCTGATGATGTCCGCATAAGCTTCCAGAC